AACTGGTCCATAATCTTTTTACTTCGTTATGATATGAAAATGAAATGATATGAAAATGAAATGATATGAAAATGAAATGATATGAAAATGAAAATGTAATGTGTATATGTAAATGAAATGATATGAAAATGAAAATGTAGTGTGTATATGTATGTATAATTAGCAAACTGTTTAGGATATTGGTGCTTACCATAATAGAGCAAGAGTTGGATTTCTATACGGTATAAATTTTTGTGTGATTTATATACTCCCACGGTAGTCATGATACACGATATGATTTGTATCATCTACATAGCCAGGGCAGGACAGGACAATGCAAGAGAGCAACGCAACATTAAATAAAAATATCGTTTTGAGGGTCTAACACACAATGAGAAATCAGTTGATCATCGCCTAATCTGCGGTTTTCAATAACTTTGAGCTACAGAGTGCTTTAGAAAATTAATTCCATTAAAACCCTCCTCCTGAGGTAATTTCCATTAATTGTGGGCTTAATTCTTTAGTCAGAGGGAGAAGCAGTCTCGAGGACTATTAACTAATTAAGCAAACGTATTACACATGTTTTTCTTGACTACCTGTCATTACTTAGGTAAACCGTGTGATATCCCAACATAAATTTATTATCACTGATGCATAACTTCTATAATAAATTAATCTAAGACAAGGTGAAATCTGGCAATTGAAAAATAACATGTAACTAACATGGGAAATCTATTAAATTAGCTACACCTGTATTCATGTTAACAGTAAACCCTTCCATGTGAAACTAATATTAACTGCCTTATAGGTACCTAATTAATTACTTTTTTGGTAATGGCATTAATATTTGCACACTGGGAAATATATATTTATGGTTATCGCGTGTCAAGTTATCGAGTTTTATTCCCGATAGAAACAAAATATAAAAAAATACCTATCTATTACTTTTATTTATTACAAAGACATAATAATTAAGTATATATAACCTATCTAAGCAATAATAATCCAGATATTCAACAAACTTTTAGAAAATAGAAAATTACTTGAATAAGCAAGCGTTTAAATTTAAATTCCTTTTGTTAGTTCCGTCTAACAACCCTCTTTAAGTGTTCTCTCTCCAGCTTGAGAATCTTTATTGCTATATTTTAGTGTCGTATGCTTTTATTGAAACGTAAAGATGCTAAACAAAATTAATACTACTTAAGTAAGAGGTATGTGGCCTTACCTCTAGAGAAGTCACTATCCTCAAATTTCACCTGATCACGAAATATTGTGTCACCTAAGGAGCTATTTGTCAAACGAGGAATTAGTAAGTAATTAGAAAACACATGTCCGATGTGCGTGTGTCGCGACGGGCGGCCTGGCGGGCGGCGCGACAGTGCCGGATGAAGGGCGGGAACAATCTGGTCACCCGGCTCCGGCGGTCGGCGCTACACCGTCGGAGTTTTACGGCGCCGCCACGTTGCACGCGTATCTCCCTTGTTCACAACAATATGTACTCTGATTATTGGACTGCCACAATTTTCAATTTATGGATGTTTGGACGTGAGTTTAATTCGATTCTGAATAATGGTAATCTAATTATGTTTAACTACTACTACATGCCACCTCTCGACAATTTACAGTAGGTATGATAGAATGGTGACAATGGCAGTATACATATACTACTTTGTATAGTTTAAACATTGTCATAATTTTTATAAACTCTTTACGGAATAGTCAGCACATGAGCAGATAGATCATGCAGCACTAGAATTATAAGTGCGTTGCTGACCTTTTCAGTATTTGTGGTTTGGGCATGAGGTGGTGGCAGCGGTATTAGGCTTTCACTAACTTCACTCACATAGCGAGACAACGATCCTCGAACTTTTTCTCTCCCTTCTTCTTCATTGTTGGTGTTTTAAGTATATATTTATTGATTGTTATTGTCGTCGACTTAATGTTAATTTCTAAAACTGATTTCAATCCAATGAATTGGTGTTATTATGTATATCATCATTTCGATTGAGACCGACTTTTAGGTTTAATATTTTTTCTAAGATCAAGATCGATATCTGAGACAATTTTTGAATAAAATCGGTTCATTAAGGAACAGGGGTATGCTTATGTTAGTGCCTGAAGTGGATCAAGATCAAGCACGAAACGTTTATCTATTTCAGGACAGTCCTTGATCTGATAACCCACCACTTAAATACCGAGGCCTCAGCATGGCACAGAAGTTGCTATGGGGTAGTTTTAAACCCGTTGAGAGTTTTTCCCTTTTTCCCTCCCAAACACTTTACGCAGTGCGAGAGTAGTTTGTTGAACTTCCACAAAAAAGGGTTCTATGAGATAATCCACTGATACTCATATAATTACGTGTGGGAGAGCCATGCCATGGGTGGGAGAGTCATTGTGGCACGAATGGGTCGTTTTGACCGGAGTCATATTACGGCTTCACAGAAAACCGGCGTGAAACAACCACAGCGTTACGTTTCGCTGCGTGAGTAAGTTTACAAGAGGCCCAATCATCCCCCCCCCCTATCCCCAATCCTCAAATCCCCTATCCTTAAGTTTCTAATGACCCACAAGCGGCCGGCAACCCAGTTGTAGTAACTCCCGGGCAGCGCCGAATGCTTATGCTTACCATCAAGTAATCCATCAGCTCGTTTGACGACTCACGACAAAAAAAAAGATACACAGCCTGGAAAGGTGTTTTAGGAGTTGCGTGTTGTAAGTAAGACAGCGTTATACGATTAGAAGAATTTTATTTGGAAATCCCGGCTTACACAGGGTGTAAAAAGACACTTAACGAAGCCGTTAACTACGCATACTGCAGTTCTAACTAAGTAGCTTACGCTAAAATTATCACTGGGAAACGACTTTTATTTTTAGCTATCAAAAAAACAATAATTTTATTGCGCGCAATGTAAAGCAAACGGGCTTCGTGTCATTGTGTGCGTAGGTGGGTGACTTGACGCACACAATCGCGCCTTAGCATGAAAACGCTGTGATAAGTACGTAGGTCGACGTTTTACTTCGCAACAACAAAACAAATCTGTAAAATAAAAATCCTACTCAAATGCACGATTGTTCGGGTCTGCATTTATTTATTACGTACATTACTGTTCGCAGCTTCAAATGAGTAATTTATTTAGAAAAACGAAAATTCAGGTAATGTTTGTTTGGAAAAAAGTTTTGTAATAATACTTAGAATTCGATTGCGCAAAAAAATGCATCTTTGACCTTCCATATCTCGAGAACCCGTGGAGTCCCAGCTATGGTCTTACAGAAAAAAATATCCAAATAATGGGTAGAATACGTAGCTTTCGGCTTTGTTACGTGGCTTTTTACACCCGGTACATACAGTTCAAACATGAAAGAAAATTACAATTTTCAAATTTTAATATGACGTTTTGGTTGTCAGTCGTACCATAGGTGCGTTTATCGCGAGCTACAAAGAGTATGTAAAGAGGCCTGCTACAGTGTGATAGATTTTGTCGGTTAGGTATGTTTTGTTTAATTGTTATGTTAAAATAAAATCAATATTTTCAAAATTAACCCTACAATATCATATATTATGTTATATTTACGCCATGTGTGTTGGTTCATTATCATTCTGTAGTATGGAAATTGATTAGGTATACAAAGTTATTGCTTATATATATTTTATAAACCGTATCTGATAAGATAACATAGGTCCGCGACGACAATTGAGTTATGTTAATGAAGTTGGCATTGAAATTTATAAAATTAGGAAACTGTTTTTGTATTACATCATCAGGGTAGCCTAAAAAACCATTAGTCTCAAGAAGAAGAAAACTATTGGGCGATTTTTCGTTTAAATGGGATGGTTATTCGCATGGGAACATTCCAAAAATATAAACTGAAGTGGTAAGATACAAATCACATCCTTATTAGAGACAAATTATTAAAGATAATAAATATGATCATTGATCTACAACCAAGAAATGGTACTGGTCGCTGTACTGCAACAGAACAATTATTTAATATAAGAAATACTCTCAAAGGATAAAGTACTTGCAAGCGCGGATCCAGCCTTCAAAAAAGGTTGTGGTCACAGCTACTAGAAAATCGGCTAAGTACGAGTCGGAGCATGGCATGCTCATTAACAATCATGCAAATTGTTTATGAACTTATGAATTAGATTTCCTTTTTTCCGAGCATCAGGACTTTGGCCTTAGGAATGTAAATAAACTTAGGAAGAAGTCGGACACGATTTCTTCTAATTTGAAATAGTTAGTTTCGATTCAAACTTATTTCAATCACAAGTGTATTAAGGTTGTGGGCATGCCCATCGTGCCCACAACGGTGGATCCGCCCTTGAGTACTTGGTGCCTTTGATAAACCGCACATCAAGATACAATCACGTACGTGCATTACATTACCTCTCATACCTCGTTTAAGGCTAGAGTTTTGAGAGATAGTACTCTCAAAACTCTAGACTTGAACTAACCAACTTTACTACTAACTTAGTTTATGTGTAAGTATCTATTTAATAACAGTTTACATACTGTCTTCTACCAAAAAATACTATTTCAGGTTGGACAAGAGTTTAGAAATCGTGAAGGATACTGTTGTCTGCAGCAGAACCATTTTGACTACAATATATAATAAGCGTAAAATAACCGTTATTTAAAAGTGGTCCTGCTGGAGAGTATGCTCTGTAGCATGACCACTTTGAATTGTTATTTGCCAAAAATCTAATAAAATACTTTTTTATTTTACGCTACAAAAATATTGATGTAATCTACATTTATCCTGTAATTTTTATGTATTTTAGTCAAAATAGCTAAATGCTGCAGACAAAAGTATCCTTCACGATTTCTAAACTCTACACATACTTTTCCTTAAATTTTCAGGCAGTATGCAATGCCAATTTGCAGTTTATGAATGTAGTGGCTCGTTGGCCAGGATCTGCTCATGGTGTCACATTATTTAATAGTTCAAAATTGCGAGGCAAATTTTATTTTGTTATATTTTATTAATTAAAATTAATTGGTTGGTGATATTGAATACCGCTACACTAAATTATTTACTTGCTTAATAAAAATTCCACATTGGGCCATTTTTATGGGTTTTGTAATATATTGTCTACAAAACTCTTTCTTAAACATGTTGTTGATTTGCTCGGCTGCAGGTTCTAGGCCTCTTTTGAGTACTGTGCCTTTGGTGAACCAGCTGCGTGTGCTGTTGTCCATGTTGACTATAGGATGGCCCATTGTCTTCCATAATCCGGTTAGTTCCAGCTTTAACATAGCATGGGTGGGATCTGTTACAGTGACTGTTGTGGAGGTGTAGAATAATGGAATCTTAAGGTAGTGAGGGAGGTTCGATGTAATAGTAGTGAGAAACTCTTCAGAGTCTTCCAAGCCCCTAAGGATGGCGCCTATCACCAGGGATGGCCAAATTTTCATGAGGGTGTATGATTGCTGCCCGTGTGTGGCGAGGAGTGTTCGCAACCCTAACAGACATCTATCCACCTTTTGCGCTAGAAAGTAACCCGGGTACTTGTCATGATGAATGTGAGGATAACTCATTACAGAAAACCATGCTGGCGTAGATGTCTGAGAAGCAGAGAATAAGGGAGTAGGGTATTAGGAAACACGGAAATACGGGAGTAGGGTATTTGTATACCTTCTGTACTTTAAGAATCCCATCTACAATCGTTTCTATAATGAAGAAGTGACGTATCCTATGTTTTCTTGCGTTGATGAAACTCAAAGGGATTCTGTGTTAATTTTATGGCTGACTCGTTGTCCATATAAAGTACTGGCGAAGTGGCGAGACTTTCGATGCTCTCGATCAGTCTCTTCAACCAGATCTTTTCTTTAGCTGTGCCACTAGCAGCGACTAGAATTAAGCTTCTGTACTTGAAATCGCTGTGGAAGCTTGTCTAGGTATGCGATTTCCACGATATCGGTCGTCCTGCATACATATATTAATAATGTATTGTATCCTAGCATTTTGAGTGCCTTTTAGATATCGCATTTTGCTTTTTACTTTTGAAACATCTTCATTTGTGGGATATTCTTAAAGTCTAGAGACGACACTGACGGTAAAAGCTATATCAGAACTTGTACCGACCATTAGGTACATGAGCATCCCAACAGCTTCTCTAAGGGAAACTTCCAATTTTAGAGTCTTCTCTAACTGTTGCTGCTGTATGATCATCTTTTATTATATTATTGGTGTTCCAACAGCATTGCACTTTTGCATCTGAGTCACATTGATTACACCGTCCTGGTTTCCTGTGATTTCAAGTTCAAGAAAGTAGTCTGTTGGCTTTGCTTTAATTTTGAATCGGTTCTTTAACTCTTTTGTAAAAAAATTCGTTTCTCTCTCGTTATTTGAGGCTAGCAGTCCATTATCAACGTCGACGTTAGCCCTCTACGTTGATGACCAGTTTACTCTCGGCCCACAGGTCCGTGGATCGGAACCACGCTCTGCTACCACTTTAAAGTACGCGTGTTGATCATAATTAGAATAGTTTTAAATGGAAATAAAGTAAAAATAAAGGAGTCATGTATTTAAAACAGATCAATTTTATTATGACTGACGCACATGTCAATAAGAAAAAACAACGATCAAAGAGACTAATACAAAGTATTATATAAAAAGAGTTTCATATTTCAAGAATTAAAACTTCTTGCACTATGGTTACATTAGTCAACTTAATTAATGCCCTAGACATTTTCTACCAGTCGAGCTTTAGATGATGAAGAGTTGAGCGAATGGTTGGTGCAAGAAGCAAGCAAACTGACAAAATTTTATACAAGATAAGAGATAAATACCTAAAATTAAACCCTAGAAACTTAATTTTAGAAAGTTTATCTTTATTAGTTAACTAACAGTCTTATCACTAATTCCAGTTTTTCTGTCATCTTTTTAAAATATTCTACTATACAAGGCGTCCATCATCCGTATTTTTCCTTTATGCTGTTATAAAAAATATTGTTGTTAATACATTATTCCAACAATTATAGGAAAAACATAATATTACTTCTTCCACCCGGGGTAGGACAGAAGGGAGTGTCAAACTAGCACTGATTAAAAAATAAAGAGTACAGAGTGGTTAGCGCCCTTTGCTCCCTCTGCTAGCGTATGGGCAACTACTTTAATTGTAACCAATGTGCAGAAAGATGGATCATATTTACGCAGGTTGAAGACGAATTTAATGCAGTTAATAATTATCAAAGTTAATGAGAATTCCTTTGCCACAGGAACCTGAATAAAATGGTATTGAAACATGCTACGAATAATAACTGCGCTACACCTTCAACCTATTCAAGCGAATTTGTTGTGATTTTTACCTGGCTGCCTTTTTTAAATTGTCCCATTTTAGTTTCGATTGCGACTTTTATTTTGGGAAAGAGAGCATTTTGCTTTAAACGCTGCCACCAAGAATGTCCACGCTTCGTCTTTCAACTTGTTTGATGTAGCGTTTGTTTCCCTACTAGTTAAAATGAGTCAGTTTGGGATTAAAAAATAAGAGACTTCAACTCTCGTCAGGCTTTTTTCTCTTCTGTTCTTACAATTCACCATAATTTTACCATCGCTGAATTAAAGCGTAACAAAGAACAAGATTACTTACTGGTGTAGTAGGTATCAATATTTTGTGATTTTTGTATTTAAACAACTCAGTAACCACTAGTTTTTATTTAAAGTATTACAAATTTATAGAATCAGAAAGAACAAACCCGCAACTAAACGAAACGACGCTCTGCTAGAATCAGTTGACAGGTTTTCGCGGTCTTGCGGTAGACTCGGCGTCATTATCACGTTTTGTTCGCACTTGATCAACAGTAGCAATCATGTTTAAAATAAAAGTTGTAAAAGACAATATATGCGCAGTTCTTTTGGAGAGCCTGTATAATTTGGTAAAAACCTCTGCAGCACGTCGAAAGAGTTAAATTGGTCTCGAATATAGCGACGCGCTATTCCTTTTGCAGCCCTACAACGAAAAAAGTTAGGTTAGGTCAGCTTATTATTTATACTTATGCTTATACCACGTTACGCTAAATGCATTTAACGTAAGTCACTCCGACTGGTCTTTTTAGGTATTTCTTCTGTGTAAGTACGAAGTTTAAAATCAGTGTGGACTGTCTTCTAATATTTAGTTTCCTATAGCCTCGTAAATGTTGACGTAACATTGACGTAAATGTTGCTCCAGTATCAATTTCCATTTTCAGCTTTGCGTTCTCGATATGTACCGATATCATGAACTTCTCAGTTCTTTCGCCAGATATTGTTGTTGTTTCAGTCATCGTAATCGCTATTGTTCGGTTCTTCTAGTTGGTATGAATTAGATCTTGGTGCCTTGTAGCGCAGATTAGAGTTTCGTTGTTGGCAAACGCGGGCAAGATGGCCGATTCTATTGCATTTACGGCAGGTGATATTGCTGGCGTTACATGTCCTGGTTTCATGAGAAGATTCGCAGCGAAAACATTTACCTAATAAATCTCGGCGTGTGTTTTGTCTTAAGTTTGAAGTTTTAGTTCGATATGTGTCTGTAGAAACTTTTTCAATACTGCCGTTACTCGTACTGGGTAATATAGGTATGTATTTGCAACAAATTCTTCAGATCGTATCTGATCTGAAGAATTTTATTTGGAAATCACGGCTTATACAGGGTGTAAGACCATAACTGGGACTCCACGGGTTCTCGAGATATTGAAGGTCAAAAATGCATTTTTAAATATTTTTTTGCGCAATCGAATTCTAAGTATTCTTATAAAACTTTTTTCCAAACAAACATTAGGTACTTGAATTTTCGATTTTTCTAAATAAATTACGCATTTGAAGTTACGAACAGTAATGTACGTAATAAATATCTGCAGACCCGCACAAAAAACATCGTGCATCTCAGTAGGATTTTTATTTTACAGAATTGTTTTGTTGTTGCGAAGTAAAACGTCGACCTACGCACACAATGACAAGAAGCCCGTTTGCTTTACATTGCGCGCAATAATTTTTTTTTTTTTTTGATAAAAAGTCGTTTCCCAGTTATAATTTTAGCGTAAAGCTACTTAGAACTGCAGTAGTGCGTAGTTAACGGCTTCGTTAAGTGTCTTTTTACACCCTGTATTTGTGATATCCTTTCCTGTTCCTGTATCTACAGCTCAGCTCGTGGCCCACCAGTAGACTGTATCTTTATATGTGTGCAGTCAACTGCCCCGATTACATTTGGAAAAGAGCTTATGTTGTAGAATTCTGTTTTTATCCTAGTGTGATCTTGATGTTAACAGGGCATAGAAATAAACTGTGACCTAAGTTCATTCATTAATCGCTGCAGATACTTTTGTTATTATATTCTACAAGCCGTAGATTTATGCATTCTCTGCAACCGTAATTTGAAATGCTCATGTAGCATAATAGCTTATTGTCAGTAGCACCTATTCCAAAGCACTGATAGAATCGTTTCTCAAAGTGAACTGTTTAATTTTCGGCTCTAACATGTTAACTAGTAACAGCACATTAGCCTTTGTCAGTCGGTACCGATTCTTGAATTCCTCTTCATTGTAGAAATCAAACGGATTCATTCTGGTCTTAAATCTTCATCGCTGCTGGATGTGCTGATACCTACTCATCATGCTAATATCCGAAAGAGACATTATCGTTATCTAAAAGAAGAATCGATGTAGGTAAGTTAATCAACATGTGAAATAATTTACACTTACAAGGAAAATTGTATTATTACAAATAAAATTTCGTCATACATATATGTATAGCATACCTTAAAAAAGTATGTTTGAAGAGAAAATGCAGACTCACGTGAAAAATCAGTTGTACCTATTCATAAGTTATTTCGCCAACAAGCACCGATTAGTTGACCGAGCTTTTGACAGACGAATAATCTATGATCACGGCTGGACCAGCGTTTCAGAAACCCAAAAATTGCGATTACCATTCGATTCTTGAGTTGATTTGACAGCTGTGTCAACTGACATGATAATCCAATTAGTTATTTACCTAATCAAATATTTGACCAATAGACATTTGACAAGAAATTTAACAGGAGATTAGTTACTTTTAGCGTTGATCAGCCTTTCTTGACAAGCCTTTCGAAAACCGGGTATTATAGTCGGACTTTTAATTCCATTCCAGATTTGACAATTTCAGTGTTGCAACGTTATGACAAGTATTAAATAGTGACGTTGCGAAATTATTCGATATGGAAATCGAATATTTTTAGATCGATTCCTCTCGTTTATAATTTTACACTCGTAGACAAAATATATCAGGAAATTAAATATTTCTGAACCGATAATTTAGTTTTGACGATTTATTAACGGTCTGAGACTTTTCTTTTATAATTGTCTGTGAAATAAATAAAGACAGGTTCATCTGTTTTATTTTATAAGACTAATCTGTTATGAAGTGTTTATTCGACATTCTGCTAGTCTAACTAATTGTAATCGGTTATAGGGCACTCACATTTACAAATTTATCAAGTTTGACAATAAAAATGGCATGGTTACAATTTTACTAAACACTAAAAAGTTCAGTTCAAGCAAAGATCCAATGGAACATTATTTATTTTCGTATCCTGTGGCGCAGGACCAGCGTATCTTCAAGCATATCAAGTTCACTTAACTTTCAAAAATTTACAATTTCACAATACTTAATCTCAGACTAAAGCAAAAATAACAAAAGTATTCGTACAGTTACATAGATGTGTTGAAGGTAGTACATTTTATTGTAACAGCTAGGATATACATTGGAATTTTGTCCTGTATTATAAGTTTTATTTTCAAAATATACAATTTCACAATACTCAATCTCAGACTAAAGCAAAAATAACAAATAATGAGTATTCGTACATTATTAACTACGCACAAACTGAGACTGTCATCTGTCCCGTAAGATACCAGTCCCCGATGAATATGCCAACGCAGAGCTAGGCGCTACTAGGCTATCGTCTCGTCCCCGATAGTAGTAACGCCTCTGATAGCAGCAACTGAAACAGTAATAAACGAGATATTCAACGGTTAGATGTCCCGTCGAAACGTGACCCGCAAGAGGGGCCCCAGATTACTACACCACATTCATAAAACAACCACGCTTCACGACCATGCCCTAAAATGATTAGTCTCAGCGCTTCAGTTTCGGTCACTCTATAAGATCTTCGCCTGGAAGCTCTGCTTCAGAATGCCCAATTCTCCAGCGGTCTT